GCAAAAAACGCCACCACCATGTTGGATTAGACCTATATATATGGCCTGAATATTCAGAAAAAAAGAATGTAAAACATTATCGCCAAGAAGACCAAGAACAATTTGAACTATGGGAGGAGTGACATTTCAATGGGTTTATCAATCCGGCTCTGAATGGATGCCATTTGATGCTAGGTCTAACCTCACTGTCGAAAGTATGTTTGCAAGAAGTGCTCAAGGACAAGTTTTTGTTAATGGATTTTGGGCCTACATTGACGCCGGTGACCTTTTCATGATTTATAATAGCATGACATTGGTAATTAGGAGAACAAGATGTTAATGGTTCCAATGGCCCATATTTGAATGGGTTTTTTAGCTACTGCTTTATATAAAGACTATCAGTAGTGGTATAAATTTTTAACGTCGTATTTTATTTTCTTTCAAAACATTTTATTACCTGTACCTTTTTTCTTCACGTATCACAATTTTATTATTATACTCTTCATTTAGCTTATAACAATTTAGTTACATATTAATCTACATTATATTGTATAGTATATGCTCCAAAAAACTACACTACTTTTATTCTTACCTATGCCATCTTTGTTATTTTCTCTTTCTTTCTCTTTCTTTTGCTGTACATATAACTATTATGCCTAAGCCTGTTAGTTTGTTTCTACTTAAAATAAATCTGGATTTATTACTATTAAACATAAAAAAAAGTGTAGCGAATTTACCTCCTCTCTTTATTAGTTGGATAATAGCACTACAAATTAATAACGAATTATACATACTGTTACGTCAGTCGAAATAAAAATTAAAAGTGACGGTAATAAGACAACGAGACTTAAAAGAATAGAATTTAACAGATTTTTTTTTCGAATAAAATCTTCCTATTTATATTGAGTTCTTAGCATCAGCATCTTTATATATCAATATGTGTATATAGGTATATGTAGTCTTTCGATTTGTAATGGCTATATAGACTACGTATAATAATTAAATTGATGACTTTTAAACTAGACTTTGTGCAGTTGATGAGATGGTCTGTCAATGCAGCTGTCATATATTACTATTATAGGTAGAAGACGATTTCTATACTCTTAAAATCATTGTTCAGATAGGGAAATATTAAAATATTAGCAAAGCATAATTAATGATATGCTGTATTTGAATATCTATAATTAATAAATGATTGTTTTTATAGGCCATTGTAGGTTGAATATAACATATAGTGCAGCTACTTTCTCAAATGACCTAAAACTAAAACTCTGTATTTATCCTTTTATATTTATATGATTATAAGTAAAAGGTGATTCCTTCAATTTTTTATACTTGGAATTTTAGTAAATGTGGGTCGTGACATCGATACGCGTACATTATATAGCAATTAGGCGATGAATGAGGAAGATATGGATACCGTCGAATTTATTCTTAGTGACAAGATTACCAAGACATCATCCAGAAACCCTCCTTTTAACCCGATGCGTTTTCAAATCAAAGATACCAGTTGCTACAAAATAACAAATGTTGAAAAAAAATGATATTATCTCAGGTGATAAAACAGTACTAAATTTACTTGAAGCTAAAGCTAAAGTACAAGGAAAATTAAAAAATAACATTGACGATCAAAAATCAATTCAGCAGCAGTATGAAAAATTATGTATTTCCGTTGAAAAACAAACAAAAGGTTTACTTGTTCGCCAAGGGGCGCCGAGAAAAAATCGCCAATATTCAAGATGGTCAAGCTGATAATTTAGTAATATAGAGCAATGGAGCTGTAACTATATCAACCAACAGACAATTCAATACAGGAAAGGATGGGCATGATAATAAGTCAGCAATCAGGTTATCGATACATTGTTGAATGCACCAGCTAACGATACAACGAATTTTACTTTAGTTTCCTATAACATGTCAAATTATTTTGTAATAGACTAGTTTTATCTATAGTGAACTTTTATCTAATTCAATAACTAATACATTAGGAAAAAAGGTTAATTTTTTATTTTTCCAGCCCAGCAGTCCTTTTTATGTACTTACTAAATCAGTTTCTACAACCCATGTAATCATAAGTTTCTTTGCTTACGTCTACTTGTAGCAAAGTTGGTAACGTTATTCATAAATTTGATTAAAGAATTGTTGGGCTTATATATAACTCTTTGCAGGCTTGCAGCCTAAACAAAAATTATCGATTAACGATTATGTCAATGTAACAAAATCATACCCTCTAACTATCAAAACAAAAAATGACGAGGCTTAACACATACATTTCTTCAGGGATACTCTATTACTTCAAAGAATAGCAGAGTTGGAAAGCCTTCCAGGAAGCATATAGAGAGGTCTTGTTTCTAAGAATAAATACACTATTACATTATGGCACTTTATTCAAATGTGTAATGCGTGAAATCAAATTATATGTCAAGAATCACATAATAGAAGACTATACATAATATATAATACTGCAATAAAAAAACAAGATGAAATCTTTCCTTTAATTGAGAAATTCTCAAGGCTTATATGGTCCCTTTGTTATAGAGGGTACATAACTACAGCATGTAGAAAGCAAAAGGTATATAAAAGGCTCTTAATAAAAAGAATTTCCTTTTATGAGAACTACTCATATTTATCTTAGGCTCTTCCTCCTTAACTATATAAGATATACTGAAGCACCTCCTTCATTTGCTTATACCAATAACAATACAGTGTCAACTATCATCACAAATAACAGTACGACCCCCACCTCACCTCATGAAGTAATTTAACTTTCATTTCATAGTGTACCCTTCTATATTTATATTTATCTACCATACCAAACAAAAAAAAAAAAAAAAAAAACTCTAGAATTTTTTACGAACTTTCCTCTATACTTTAGATCTTCTACTTTATTTTTCATATAACCTTTTTTTTCTTATCGCTCTAAGGTTCTTCATATTCCTTTGCCTGACAGGATTGGACTTGAGTGTATATTATGTCATATATTAAGATGTAGCATTTATTATTTAGTCATAGGGATCCTCATGGAAACCGAAGAACCAGAACCGAACCAGAACCAGAACCGAACCGAGAAAAGTCGAGACGGTTCTATGGAAGGAACTGACCGGAACTGACTCGGTTCTACATAGAAAGAACCGAGAACCGACATTATAATTTGGTAAATTCATCAGATTTTCAAATTATGATGGGAAAAAGCATTAATAACAAAAGTAAACTATAAAGACTGAGAATATAAGGCTTTGGTTTTATATAAACAAGTATAAACTATTAAGAAACAAAAGTATATGCGTTTTTTTTAAAAATATATATTAGAAAAAAGAATCATAAAAGAGAGAACTAGTAGTTTTTTTCTGGCAGGCTAGAACGGAAATCCTAAAATAGATACTACCCAGCAACAACAGTACTTTTTTCTTCTATTAATTAATATGCTTATTATTTTTTATTCAGCAATTACTTTTATAGTGAAGCGTTCAATGTGTGATTGAAGTACTTCGTATAAAGATATAAATAAAGAAGAAATAATACCCTATGTTGTTATATTTGAGTAATAAGTTATATAATAAAGAATGGAAATATAGGTTGTGGGAGTTCTTATATTCAGAAATATTACGTCTGAATCCACAAAAGAAAAATCTTATAATGAGTTTAAGAGACTTTATGCTCAAAGGAAACTATTGTTAGGTCAATTTAATTGTTAAAAGACTAAAAGATTTTAAAGGTAAAGATAGAACTGAAGAAAAGATTTTATTTGAAATAATTTAAAGGTATTTATACTATTTAACAATGCCAGAAATGTGGCATTGCTTTACCAGAAATGTGGTTTTGCTTTGCTGGAAATGTGGCATTGCTTTACCAGAAATGTGGCATTGCTTTACCAGAAATGTGGCATTGCTGCTTTGCCATAAATGTGGCATTGCTGCTTTGCCATAAATGTGTCTTTGCTTTGTCAGAAAAGTGGCATTAGATAATAAGCCAATAGGAACATGCAATGAGGCTGTTAGTGATATGGTGATAATAATAATAATAATAATAATAATAATAATAATAATAATAATAATAATAATAATAATAATAATAATAATAATAATAATAATAGTAATAGTAATAGTGATGACACAGTAACGACAATAATATTGATATAAATGTTTTTAATTTATTTGGTATATTACAATAGATCTAGCAATTGTAGTTCTCCAACTTCTATTAACATGACTAATATTTTTTTAAAGATACTTACTCTTACAGATGTAACAGCAATAACACAATGGCTGTTTTTGATAGATATTTATTTTTATAAATTACCGACAATACATTTCTTACTTTAATTTAAGACAGCTTTTATTTACTTATTTCTTTTTGCTAATTATTTTGAGGATGTAACAGCAGTAATTTTCTAACTTCTATGCAGTATAGCAGCTTTAAATAAAATATTCAATAGTTGCTATTACTATATATTATCGCTTCAATAGAAGAGCCATATGCAATACTTAATTAAAGATCATCACCTCCATTCACCCTTTAGAAAAAGTAGTTCAGTTTTTTTGATAATAAATGTAATTTAATTAAAAAATTACTTCTGCTTTTTTTATTCTACTTGTTAGCTACATATAAAGATTTATCATGCTTATATTTTAAAATTTCTGATTTTTTTTTAAAAAAAAAAAAAAAAAAAAAAAAACCTATTAAATTACTATCGTCAGTTCTTCGGTTCTTCTCAGTTCCTCACAGTTTGGTTTGGTTTGGTTCTTACTAAAGGGTGGTTCAATTTGGTTCTCTTGAGGAACCAAACTGAATTGAACCATAAGGATCCCTATTTAGTCATTTTTTTTCTCTTCTTTAATAAACTTTGATTTACTAGAAGTCGATTCGAAACGGTTCTCTCGAGGAACCGAACTGAAGTGAACCAGACCATAAGGATCCCTATATGTTATATCATATTATAAGCAAATCATTTAATAATTTTTTTTGTTTGTTTTATGTCTTTCAATCTAAAGTAAACCCAATAATTAGCTAAACATGAAAATCCGATCATAGCTCAGCTGGTAGAGCGGGAGACTGTAGTGCAACAGCTTATCTCTAGGTCACTTGTTCGAATCAGGTTGATCGGATAAAATCTACTACGATTTATTTTTTACATTTTTATTTTTCAATGTTACACAATTAATAATAATAGCACTACTAGTAATAGACTTAAAAAAAAGGCATATAATGTGGTTTAAAGGTCGAGGCCAAAGGCTGATGACCTGTCTTCATTATTCATGAGGAAGTGGTTCAACTGTTTGTCTAATCTATCATTCCTTTATTGTCGAGAGTAAAAACATAATAAGTAATATTAAAGTATTATAAGTAAAAGAAGAGAGTGAGAATGTCCTTTTTTTCTTGAAAATAAGAAAAAAAAAATATAAGGGAAGGACAATTAGTTGAGACACTTCTTCATGAATAATGAAGACAGGTCATCAGCCTTTGGCCACAACCTTTAAACACATGATTTATTTAGTTGTGGCTCAACTGATTGTATATCCAGAGAATCACTAGCTGCAGGTTGGCCTAAAACTAAAGATGTGAAATCTATATGAGTTTTAGGTGATAAAAATTGTTGAATATTGCTGCTAAAGACCAGTTATCATGGGTGACGACATTGTCAACAAATGCACGCACCTTGACAGCATGTGATGAACCTAATGCTCAGGCCTTGATCTTAGGATGGTTGTTTGCTAGAGTGGTAGCTAAAAGTTTTATAATTTCTTGAATGTGTTTACTAATTCTTTTGACACAGATAGGCCTGCCTATTGTGGTCATGTTGATGGCGAGTAAGTTTGTTGATGATAAGGTTAGATAATGTTGGATGATATTGAATACAAGATGAAGTGGCAACATGGTTATGATAAGTGGTAAACACTATGACAGAACAAAGGTGTTGATCAGTATATGGTTTAATAGTAATAGATCAAGTAATTTACTGACCAAGACATTTCTCTTTAGGTGCTACAACTATAATAATAAGAGACAGAGGCTGAGAATTAGTAAAAGAACATCGGTTTAAATCAATATGTTCAATGTCAGAAGAATGTATCATTCCACGAACGCCAGGAAGCCAATGTAACTTTTTAAGTTAATTGTAGGATAGTCATTATGTTGTTGTTAAGTTGTTGAAAATAATGAAGAATGGGTTGTACGTTTATATTGAATTCGCTGGTAGGTCGAAGTGTGCCTTCATTTAAATATTGAAAAAATAATTGATAGAATCGTGAGCTGATGATGGTTTGTCAATCGTCAAAAGGGTCCATCATGATAGCTGAATGATATGTGAAGATAGTGCTAGTTGACCGATTGAAAACTCGCCGTCCATATGAAAGGTAGTTGATGATATTTTCAGTAGGTGATAAATATGGATCCTTATTATTTTGTGACTACTATTTCAGAAAGCGTTGTTGTGTTGTATGTTGTTATTGTCGCGTATATATGCAATCAGAATAAAGAATTATTCCAATGGTATCAAGACTGGCACCAGTAAGGTTTAGTCGTTGAAGTTTATGCTCCAAGCCATTAGTTTCCAGTGAGGGTCCTTGTTGAACTTGGCCTATTGGTAGAAGCACTGTAGAGCAAATTCTATAGAAGAAATATCTGTTGTAGTGTGGTGAGAGGAATGGAAATTTTTTTCCAATTGTTTAATCCTGTCTGCCAATGCAACAGCCCATAATGGTGCACTATGCTCATTACTAGCGGTAGTAGTAGATAATCGAGGATCCACCTGGTGTTGTTGATGTTCAAAAGAAGAGTGATCATGACTAGACATAATCAATAGAAAACGATACTCGTCGGTTGTGTACCAAAAAAGCGATCTCTCGAGAGAAAATATGATGCTTTAATATTATTTGTATTTTATTACTATTTATATTTTTACTCTCGACAATAAAGGAAAGATAGATTACACAATCAGTTGAGCCGTAACTCGATGAATAATAAGCAACAGCATCATCGTCTGACTTTTTAGGCATGTTTGAACAGCTATTATATATTTATGATATACTCACACCAACTCAGCGTTTTATTTCAAGTAGTTAGTAGTTTAAGCTTGCATAATATTTTACAAGTTTGAGTCATCAAGTACTACTAATATATAGTCAGAAGATAGAGTTTAAACAAATTTAATCCTTTTTTCTATTTGACTAATATTATACTACTATGTTATTTACTACAAGTGAATTATTGTTTTATTGGTTCTGTTTAGATTTAGAATATTTAGTTCCTAACATTACCCTGTATAGTGTTATGCAGAAATACTTAAGATGAATAAATAATAGTAGTAATAATATACTTAAATGATATCTTGGCGCAGGCAACCGAGTTAATTTTTTATTACTCATTAATTATATCGAGCAGCCAGAAATTGGAGCAACGTTTAGTAGTTTTTTTTACTAATGATAAAAAAAGGCATCAACCGAATTAAAAATTACATTCACTCCACTCAGATATTATATTTTTAAGCCTGGTTGCCGTGTTATAAATCATTTTACAAAAGCTTAACTTAATTCATTAGAATGATATTGCGTGCAGAATGAGTAGTGTAAAATATTACAATCTCGACTTTATGTACCAAATCAAAACATTGAATATTTTATTTTGAATAAAAAGTCATAATTGGTCACCTAGCACCGATTTGACAGGGTTGTTTACAATTGAAGATAAAAACAGGAATAGCAGATTATCTACACTATAATTCAGTGTTATAATAAAAACTTAATAAATTGAAATATATCTGTCCCACATAGCTATACTATACGACTACTACAGAATTACAAGGTCAGTAATATATAATTGACAATATATGTAAACACAATAAAATATAGATATAGTAGCATTGACCAAGAGCCGTCTACTATATAGTTACTTCTGTTTTTATATATTCTTATTTAAGCAAACCTGAACGCACAAAAAAAGAAACAGCTGGTGAATAGTACCATCGCTGTTACCCACGTACTAAAAACAAGTTATAAGCATATGTAGCCGAGTAAATTACATTCTTCAATTACATAATAAAACTAATATTATCGAAAACTTGCTAGGTCAGTAAGGAGTTTAACAGTCGAATCGTTCAAAATGCAACTAGTCATTTTCCATTATTTATAATAAAGTTTCTATTCAGCTCAACATAGAAAGTATCAAATTCAAATTTCTATAATATAAATTTAGTTTTTAAAGCTCTATTGGATGAAATGTATCATATAGTATATCATTCAAATGACAAGTCACTACCAGCAGGATACTTAAGCCTATATGGTAAATTATCTGGCGCATTATATAATTGATAAAATACAGCCAAGTTTTTTTTAAAAAAATGAGATGGTCTTAATGACGCGCTCTTTACAACATGCATAGCTAAGGACCATGAGGTACAGTAATTATATTAGTGACAACATATCTTTATGAATTCATGACACGATTTGTTTTTTTCGAGGCTAGTCATTGCTTTTTTTAATAAGTTACAGTGTTAATACTGTTTACATCTGTTTTACTTTTTCATGGAAAAGCTCAAGTTCGATATGTTATAAGACTGAACTATGTCGAATTCGAGTCTGATGGAAAAATTTGCGGAAAGAAGTATTTTTTTTATATACTCACAAGCATGTTAAGAAACCTGACAATGCACTACATGTTATGACGATAGGCCTATCAAATTAGCTGGTGACTTTATGATAAAATTTGCTCGTCACCGATAAGACGGACTTATTTAAGTGAGCTATTTCCCAGTAACATTTTTTTTAGGATATAAACAATCACATAATTTGTTCCAAAATAATCATAGGGTATCGGTCCACTGTGCGATAAGGTCCAGTTCTATAAAAGTAATACTTTATATAATTGTTCTCATAATATTATGACGATCAGCTTTTTTAATATTACTACCCCCATTTTTTGTTTTTAGAGTAAATGCGCACAGACTTTTTTTTTGGGGGGGGGAGGAGCAACAGTAAAGCACATGATTTTTTTCTATGTCAATCCTTTTATCACAAGAATTATAAACGTGGAAGCTTTTAATGAAGAGACCGCACAGTAATCTCTTGAACCAGCTAATTAGTACAATTATATGTGTGATGACACGTCGGACACACTCTCACTTTATTCCCTCTCTATGAGATTTGAAAAGCAGGTACGAAATCGCGGCTTTCTAATGACTATGAACAAGAAACGACCTTTTATTTTATTACGTGTTTACTAATCTATAGCATTGGGAAAATGACGGATCGGTCGTCACTGGCTATAACAGACAGCGTGAATAACGGAGCCATTTTTTGTATAACATAATCACATTATGTATTTCACAAGAAAAACTGATAGCTGAATCAAGTTCTGATCTATACCAGTTGGAGAGCCTACATGTATTTAGTAATGAAGGAAAAAAAAGTATTGTTATCTGAGCTGGAGCACACAATAAATGGATGGCAATTAAAATTCTTCACATGCTTATTTAATAAATTAAACTTGGTCTTTTTTTTTCCGGCAGAACTTATATACACATAATTTGATCTAACGTTACTTAGTTGACATTTGTTTTTTTTTTCACATGTCAAAAAAGCAGTAAAAAAGCAACAAGTGAAAAATGGCCAATCAGTACCTACCATTGGCACCGTGTTTTTTGCTAAAAAAATAAGATATTCTTATTCATGCATCCAGATAACGCTATTTTTTTTCTACTATTACACAAACTTGTACAACTATTGTTATCGTTGGCCGTCTTTGATAGTGAAAGCGGTGATATATTATAATATACACAATCTGGTTTTGTCGTCGTTATCAATTTTTCTGAAAGTTAAAATAATGATACTCAGGTTATTAGAAAGTAGCACTGTTATTCTTCAAGCAAAACTTTCCTTCTTTTTTGGTGATAGTTATAGTATGATTTTGTACCAACAAAATCTTTCCTGAAACGCCAAATCAGGAGTCTTTTATATATCAAGAAATTAATTAGTGTGTAATACTAAAAGCAGTTTCATGTTTAAAATTGTTTTCTCAATTATTTCTACACACATGTCAAATGAAGTCTTTTTTTTTTTAAAAAAAAATAGAGAGGAGCTCATACAGTTTTTTGCTCTAATTTGGGGCCAAC